TCCTGACCCAGGGATTGAACCCAAGTCTCTTACAGTCTCCTGCATTGGCAGGCAGGTTCTTTACCACTAGCATCATCTGGGAAGCCCCAAAATTGGAATAGTAGGTATCTAACTTACCCCAGGCAATACTTAACCCAATATGTTATTTATATGCCGCCTGCCTTCACACACACTGTCCCCCGATCTGGGGAGCACTTTCTCTTCCCCACCTGCCAACTTTGCTGACTCACTCTTTCAGATCCAGTCTGTACAATGGGGCTTGTCCAGGCTGCACCTGAGCCATCATCCATGATGATGTCCTCAGAGCTGTGGTTGAGCACACAGTTTTATAACAAGACTCCTTACAGGCACTCTAACATCTGACTTATGTGCTTGCCTTCTCTTAGATACTGTGGATGCTTTGAGATCAGAGGTGAGGGTTTTTCATTTCTGGAGCACAAACATGGAGTGGACATGGTAAATCCTCAATGTTCAGTGAATGAAAAAAAAAGGGTTTTCCTTGCAAAACTTGCAGCCCCCCTGTAATGGTATGGTGCAGAAGCAAGAAGGTGGGAGCCTTCTGGCCTCTGAGGGACAGGGCTTAGATGCCCAGCACTAGCCAGGCAGGACTACCACTAGCACCAATTGGGAAGCCCATAGTTCACTAAACATTTGTTCAAATTCATAGAATATACAACACCAAGAATGAACCCTGAGTAAACTATGGACTTTGGATGATTATAAAGAATCACTGTAGCTTCATTGATTATAAAGTACTTACCACTTTGGTGAGAGATTTAGATGATGGGAGAGGCTGTGTGTGTGTGTGTGTGTGTGTGTAGAGGCAGGGAGCATATCGGAAATTTCTATACTTTCTGCTCACTTTTACTGTGAACTTAAAATTGCTCTAAAATAGTTGGGATTTTTTGTTTATTGGTTAGTTTTTGTTTTTGTTTTTTTTTTAAAGGATAAAGTGGATTTGTAACTGAACTCAGGTTTCGTTGCCTGCATCTCAAAACCCAATACTTGAGAAGCAATCGTTGGAAAGGAACGTTTGCTTTCTTCAAATTGCCAACAACTCAGAAAGAAGATGGACTCATGTCCAGGAACCAACACCAAAGATTCTGCTGGACCATGAAAGCTTTTTAAAGGGAGAAAGCAAAGTTAATCATTTGAGGAGGGGTTCACAGTTTGTTATCCTCACTGTGTGCAGGCTGATTGGCTGGTGGTGAGGTGACATGGTCGTGTTTGAGGACTCTTTTTCTTACCTTGAATTTATCATCCTTCACCTTGGTGGGAACCTTCATTCCTGAAAAAGAACTGAAAAGCATCACACATATTCCTTGAGGGGAGACCAGGACCCTGCTTTATCCCTGCACTTTTGTTCCTTGACTTCTCCTCTTTTGTTTTGCATTCCCTCCCTTCCCATAGCCTAAGAATCCTCATGTTAAGCAAACTAGAAAAAGGCCTTGGAAAATGAACAGAAGCCTAAGGGTCCAGGAATATGTCTAGTGTAAATGTTAGAGTTTAAAGTATAAGTGGGCTCTAGGGTTGAGGGACTGATTATAGATCCACATTTACTGATGTGAAAAGATGCATGTATTATGTTTTAATAATGCAAAAGCATCATTACCTGTATAAGATTTTTTTGGAGTCCTTTCTTCACGAATCAATTGATTCCTAGTAAAATTTAGTGATATGTTTTCAAGTGTGAAAGAATTTCAATTTAAAATAGAACTGGAAGATATAAAATAGAGAATCTCATAAATGTGCCCCCAGGAAAACTCAAGGACTGAGAAACTGCTTTGCCAGTAATGCCTGATTTACAGAAAACTGATAGTGTTGGAATTTTCTTGGGTAATGGGGGACTGATCAGAGGTAGTCATATTCAACCTTGGGCTGTTTTGCCAAACACACAAAGAGAATGACCCAGGTGAGCTGGTCTTACAAAGTGGACTGAATTGAACTTTGTGACTGGACTGATTTTGTCTATTTGGAAAAATTTCAGGGTTGGTTTCCATTTCTTTTAGATTTGAACCAGCTTTAATTGAACTCTCCCCCTTTTCCCTTCCCTGCCCATGAGGATAACCTGCTCCAAACCCTCATCTGTAGCTTGCTACAGTTTTCTTGTCCTGAATTAATCTGCTATTTTCAAATATTAGTTTCTTTTGAATTTGCCTCAGTTTACCTCTCTATGTCGACAAGCTATTTTAATTTAGAAAAAAATAAACCTGGCTTTTAAAAACATTGAGTTGATATAATTGTATAAATTAAATAAGTGATGACACAGATGCTGGCAAACAACAATATTTCATTTTGGAAAATAAGAACTTTAAGTGGGAAGTCAAAGCAGGTACGTAAAAATCTTGCAATCTTAACTTTAAATTGGGTGTATCAGGAACATTAGTGTTTATTTTCTCACTGTAACAATTTTGTATGTATTTCCTGGTTTAATACACCGGGAAGTTCCAGGAGTAGTGAAAATGCAGTAGCATTGAGCATACCTACTACCCAAAGTGTGATCACCAAATATCCATTACCAAGGAATCCAACAAAGGCTCCTTAAGAAAAAGACTGATTGCAACACAATGTTAAAAAATGTGGAAGATAAGTCTGGGACTACACATTATATTAGAAAGAGATGAAAGCTCACTGGAGTCAGGGTAAAAGGACCCAGAACTTTATCAAAAAACTAATAATAATAGGAAAAGGTCAAGTGCTTACTTTGCTTCTCTGATATGAAAGGTAGCTCAGTGTAAACAAATAACTATTTATTTATATGCTTTTATAAACATTTGATAAACTTAAATTTGAATTATCATTATGAATTCATTTTTTTTGTTTTTTTATTATCCTATAACTTTTATTTTATTTTTTTTTCCATTTATTTTTATTAGTTAGAGGCTAATTACTTTACATCATTGCATTGGTTTTTGTCATACATTGAAATGAATTAGCCATGGATTTACATGTATTCCCCATCCCGGTCCCCCCTCCCACCTCCCTCTCCACCCGATCCCTCTGGGTCTTCCCAGTGCACCAGGCCCGAGCACTTGTCTCATGCACCCAACCTGGGCTGGTGATCTGTTTCACCCTAGATAATATACATGTTTCAATGCTGTTCTCTTGAAACATCCCACCCTCGCCTTCTCCCAGAGTCCACAAGTCTGTTCTATACATCTGAGTCTCTTTGCAAATTGAATTCATTTTTTTTTTCACACATCTATTTACTGAAATACTTGAGAAGAAAGGCAAGCCAGTAGTATGCCTGTTTTTCTATAAAAGGAATAAGATTTCTTGGAGAAACTGTCAGGAAATGTGCAAATGTATACAATTCTCCATTCAGGGCTCGGGCAAGAAATGTGAACCTAGGATATCATATTCTGCCAGAAAGCAAGGAAGTGTTCGAAGACAAATGGGGTTGTGACAAGATAACCTACCAACTTGATCAGATTCTCAACTGCTAAAAATGTTACACCTTAATCAATAAAAATAAAGTGATGACTGTGGACTGAGAACTGATCATGTGTAAAATCTATGATTGATTTTGCTTTCATCTTGAATATTTAAAGAGTTTGGAAAATTGTCATTTCCATCACCACAATGGGAAAAACCTAGACAAACTGAAAGTCAGTGGCTTTCTTAGGACACATTAGAGAACTAAGGTTGCAGGTCAAACTACTACCCTGAATTTGAAGAGAGATCCAGAAGGATAGAACTGAGATCTACTTATTGAGAGCAGACACGCTCTAACCATCAACTGCTAGCACTTAACATGGTAATTTTGACAAATTACTGGAGGTTTAATGTGAACTAGTGTGAGAGCGAGAAAAACCCAGGGCTACGGTCTTAGGGGGTACTCTGCATTCGTGGGATTTTACTCTAGGAACCCCTAAGAAAGATCCCAGTGTGGCCCTGGCCCAGGAAGAAGAGCAACTATTGCAAAATGCCTCAGAATCTTCTTCATAAATAAGGCCTACTTTCCAAGGGGAAGAATTTCACCAGAGTCACCTTTATCTTAGCTAGAGAAAGGGAATTCCTCCCACACCAGTCGCCCTTCAATATTCCTGTCTCACCCAAGAGGGAAAAATATAATCAACAGGGGAGAGAGATAAAGGATATAGATTGGCAATGACGTACCCAGAAAGAAGAGGATGGAGCGAAGGGGGAAAGTTGTACCAAGGGAAGAGGGATGTAAATGCTTATGAAGGCCATAGCCCTGAGACACAGACCCACAAAGACTGAGACTTGATCAGAACAGCATAGAATGCTCCCCAAAACCCACATTTTACCATCACATGGACCAGGCTGCAGGAAAACAACAGGATATTGTAGCTGAGCTGCAAGATTCAGGCTCTAAGCAGGAAAACTTAGAAACCAAAGTCCGGAAGGGAGAAGTCTCTGACACCTGCAGCTACAGCAAACAGTAAGCCCAGTTACTTATCAGCCAGGTGAACAAAGATTCTCACAGTAAGACTGATTTATCTCTGTTAATATTACCTAAAATAACATGTCTTGATTTCAACAACAAATTATACGATACACAAAGACAAGAAACAACACCACTTTGTGAAAAACTAAGCCAATCATTAGAAACAAAACTCAGATATAACACAGATGTTGAGATTATCAGTCAGGGAATTTAAAATAACTTATGATTCCTATCTTAATGACTGTAACTAAAACATACAACAGATAAGAACTGATAGCAAATGTAAACAGATAGACGGGAGCTAAAAACTGAAAGGAAATGCTAGAGGTAAATGATATGGTAGTGGAAAGAAAATGTGTCTTTGATTGGTTAATCATGCCCACTCTGATGGGGCATGCCAAAGAGTCACAGGAGCAAAACAAAAGATCCCCCAATGGACAAGCCTGGACAATTTGAACAATAAAATAAAGTAGTGTTGGATTATAATCCAAAGTTTAAAACAGGTGTTTCAACCCATACTGCTTAAATATATGTTAAGGATTGAATACACAAATAAATGGGGAAAAGATAAAAATCTCTGGAACAGAATAAATACAAATAATGTACATAGATAATGTTCTACTTCTCAAGTTCAGCCTGTGTGTAATAACATTCTTCTTCTACTCTTTAGTGGAGAATCCTGAGAAAATCTACCTCAGCCAGGTAATCAAAGTCAACATCCACAGTATCAGTCATGCTGATGGCATGTACTCTTGCTACGAGGTGATTAAAATGACACTGCCTTTGCAGTCTTCCTTCCAAAAGTACATAAATTTGGTCTAATCATGAGAAGAGTATGAGATAAAATCCAGTTGAGGAGTATTTTATAAAACACTGAGTACTCCTCAGAACTGTAAAGGTCATGAAAAGCAGAGGAAAATCTGACAAATTATCACAGTCAAGAGTGGCTAGGGACACATGACAATTAAAAGTAAGTGTTTTGGATGAGATCCTGGAACAGAAAATGGGCATTAAATCTAAAAAACATAAAGAACTGTAAACATAATATGAACTTAATAGTAATATATCAATATTGTTTCATTCATTGCTATATCATCTACATCTATAGGATCATCTACCTATCTCTCTATTTATAGAGATTTATTTCAAGAAATTGGTTCACATCAGACAAATTTACCATCTTGATGAAAGATGTCAACAGAAGGGTAACAAATAATGTATCATTATCAATGATTTAACTGATATCAGCTATCATTACTTGGGGATCATAGGCCTATTTTCAAAAATAATTCATAAAGACAATATATTCGAAAGAGCTTGAACTGTGTCATACTGAAAACTTCTTTTTTCTTTTACCTCTATATTTTCAGCCTATCATCTCTGTCTCTCTCTCCCTCCATTTCCTCCTCCTCCTTCCCTCCCTCCCACTTATCTTGCCTTCCTTCCTTGTTTTCTTCCTTCCTTTCTTCCTTTTTCTCTTCTTTCCTTCCTTAATTCCTTCATGTGGGATATATAGGAGTTCTCTTCACCATTTATGATGGTCATTTTTATTGTCAATTTGAGAGGCTAGATTATTCAATCAAACACTAAGATTGGTGTTGTTGTCAAGTTGTTCTGTCAATGTGGAAAACATCTGCAATCAATTGACTTTCAGTCGAAGATTGTTTTCCATAATGCAGGTAGGTTTCATTCAGTCAGTGGAAAGGCCTTAAATGCAAAACTGTAGCCTCTCTCAACTCTGAGCTCTCCAGTCTAAATTAGATCAAAAGATTCCTAGTTCTAATCTGAGAATGGTATAATTTTCTCCCACATCTGACATTAACTAAATTTTTCTGAGCAAAAGTTAATTAAAAAACAACCAGCAAATTTAGAGTTTCCTGAGGAAATTCTGTCCCAAGACTGAAGCATCAACTTCTGTCTGAGATTCCAGCCTGCTGGTCTGTCCTACAGATTTTGGACTTGCCAGCCCCACAATGGGAGAAGGAAATGGCAGCCCACTCCAGTGTTCTTGCCTAGAGAATCCCAGGGACAGAGGAGCCTGGTGGGCTGCCATCTATGGGGTCTCACAGAGTCGAACACAACTGAAGTGACTTAGCAGCAGCAGCAGCGGCCCCACAATGATGTGAACCAATTTCTTGAAATAAATCTCTATAAATAGAGAGATAGGTAGATGATCCTATAGATGTAGATGATATAGCTAAAGATGTAAATACAGATCCTACCAACTCTGTTTTTTGAAGGTACACTATCTTCACAACTTTCCTATCTCAATCTATTCTAAAATAAAAAGCATAATTTAAAAAGCTATTATTTCAAAATAATATTTTAAAAGATTGTATTGGTAACTATTGGTAATTGCTAAGATTCACTGTTCTAAAACTTCAAAAACAACTGGTAAGAATTAAACATATTTTTCTGTTTTTTAGAGTAGCCAACAATTACATAATAAAAGTTTCTTTCTATATGAACTATTTCCAACTAATAAATGAAGAGGAAATAATGGAATCAGAAAACCATCATTTTGTAAACTCCAAAGGATCAAAATCATCCAAAGATTTGTTGGTGTGAAATTATTTTCTAGACGGATCACACTGATAGAACCTGAATGTTCCAGGGACTGTTAGCACCACTAGTTAGCACCACTAGGAGGAGGGGAGGACAGAGGATGAGGTGGTTGGATGGCATCACCAACGCCATAGACATGAGTTTGTGTAGGCTCTGGGAGTTGGTGATGGACAGGGAAGCCTGGTGTGCTGCAGTCCATGGGGTTGCAAAGAGTCGGACATGACTGAGTGACTGAATTGAATTGAGTTAAATTTCTCTAAAAATAGGAAATTTACAATACCATGTATGATGTTTTATTGAAAAATATCTACTTGAATTATAACTGCACCTCACTACCAGGGTATATGATACATGCTGAGAAAGAGAAATATGTTAAATGATGCCACAAATAATTCATTGTGATATGCTGTGCTTAGTCGCTCAGTCGTGTCCGACTCTTTGTGACCCCATGGACTGCAGCCCACCAGGCTCCTCTGTCCATGGGGATTCTCCAGGCAGGAATACTGGAGTGGGTAAGTCTATCCCTTCTCCAGGGGATCTTCCCAACCCAGGAATCAAACCAGGGTCTCCCTCATTGCCAGCAAATTCTTTACCAGCTGAGCTACCAGGGAAGCCCAAAGAACTCATTAACCAGATGCAAAATGTGAGAATTCTACAGAATAAATAATGGATTCTTTCCTAACCCCTCAGAAACAGCCAATGGGAAAGTCAGAAAAGCGTAAGAACCAAATATGATTTATGGATATTATTTGAATTCTGATTCAAACAATCTCACAGTGAAAAAATGGCTTTGAGATAATCAGGGCAATCTGAGTATGAAATATTGGTGTGAAATAGTGCTTTATTTTAATTTTAGTTGTGTTAATGGCATGGTGAATGTGTAAAAAGAAAGTGTATATTAGCAGTGCATGATAATGTATTTAGAGATGAAATGGCATAATGCCTGGCATTTTGCCCCGAAAAAAATCCCCAAAATTGTAAGAGAAGGCAAGGGTGGGATGTTTCAAGAGAACAGCATTGAAACATTTATATTATCTAGGGTGAAACAGATCACCAGCCCAGGTTGGGTGCATGAGACAAGTGCTCGGGCCTGGTGCACTGGGAAGACCCAGAGGGATCGGGTGGAGAGGGAGGTGGGAGGGGGGACCGGGATGGGGAATACATGTAAATCCATGGCTAATTCATTTCAATGTATGACAAAAACTACTGCAATGTTGTAAAGTAATTAGCCTCCAACTAATAAAAATAAATGAAAAAAAAAGTAAAATTAAATTAATATTGTGACAGCTTACTTTTCCAAAATGACAACTTTTTCCCCAAAACGTTTGGACTATGAAAATGCAGTGATCATCCTCTAAAGTTACACAGCTCTAAAATAAATAATATAAACACAGAAGGGAAGCAATGGAGGAAGATAACAAAAGAAAGAAGAAAAGCAGAGAATGAAGGAGAGGAAAGAAACAACATTATTGGTTGATTAAAAAATATTGTTTCTGCAGTAAGCATTATACCTATTATTTTTGCGGGAGAGGTGGGGTACCAGGACCGATGACTACAAGCTGCCTAAGTACAAAAAAATTACGCTTCTGAAATTTCTTGATATCGATTCCTCAGGAAGGACAAACTGCGCTACCTGTGGCACTTGTAACAGAAGCCCCCCTTTTTAATATCTGCTTTTTAAATCTTCAAAAACCATTGTTTTGCCTAACAGCATCCTAGCAAGAGATTCTTGCAAAACTGTAATTTGACTACCTTCTTATTAAACATTTATAAAGCAAGACAAGCAAGTGGCTTAATGATGAAGCAAAACAGGACCCTGCGGGGCCCTTCCAGATACAAAAGCTCCTTCTTGTCAGCTCTTTCTTGGTTTTAGATAAAAGCTTTAGTCTCCAAGGCCTTCTTTGTGTTCCAAAGAGCAAACATATGCAGTTATTAATTAGAGGAGTGAGAAAATGAAAACACAAAGGAGAAGCAGTTAAACAAGAAAAGTAATGATGATAGTTCAGTCATAGAGTCCTATATTCAATAAAGACACAAAAATGATCCACATCAAAAAATCTAAAACAAAGAAAAACAGCAACAACGCCCCCCCGCCCCCCGCCAGAGTCCAATTCCCCCTCAAGCAATATATATAACAATTTGACACAGATCTTTGAGTTGTTCTGCAGTAACTAAGTATCCCCCGTCCTAATTTACCCAGACTGGTAGATGATGGTGACTACATGCTGAACAGAAATTTTTGAACTCCAGACTACAACCAGAAGTTTGATGATCAAGATTTTTGAAACATCACTCTTTTACCTCACCATCTACCAGTCAGAAGAAAGTCATGCACCATGCAGTCCTCACCCCAAATGCTGCCTTTAAAAACCTTTCCTTGAAAACTTTCATGGAGTTCAGGTTTTTGAGCATAAGCCACCCATACTCTTTGCTTTGTGCCTGTAATAAGCACTGTACTTTTCTTCACCACCACCTGGTTTCAGTAAATTGGTTTTGCTGCATGGCAAACCCAAGTTCAGTTCAGGAATGAAGCTAAGAATAATTACATTGTGTACCCTAACCACCACTGAAGTTGCATAAATATTTTTAAATAATCCATTAAGAAAGTAGTTTTCACAAGTTTGTCTCTGACTTGAATGGTGCTGGAAATTAATACAAGGCATAGAAGGAAACAGATTTTTTATTCTCTGAGGAAGAAGCAAGACAGTCAAGTCATTATGTAGAAGTCCTGTATCCATTTGTGTTCTGAGAGTCAGTGTCTTAGCAAGCATTCTGACAGTACTGAGAACTTCTGAAAGCTAAAGTGACAAACAGAGGGAAAAATTAATGATTCAACAGAAGAGAAAGATGCTAGACAATTTGTTTCCAATATGAAATAATTAAGTATGTTATATTTGTAAAAGAATTTTGTTTTTTAATTTTTAGTTTCACTTCAAATTTTAGTACTGGAATTTAAATATATTTTAGTATGATATATGGTCCTTGAAATGCACTGTCAGACCACCTGACTGCCTCTTGAGAAACCTGTATGCTGGTCAGGAAGCAACAGTTAGAAATGGACATGGAACAACAGACTGATTCCAAATAGGAAAAGGAGTATGTCAAGGCTGCATATTGTCAATCTGCTTATTTAACTTATATGCAGAGTACATCATGAGAAACACTGGGCTGGATGAAGCTCAAGTTGAAATCAAGATTGCCAGGAGAAATATCAATAGCCCTAGATGTGCATTTGACACCACCCTTATGGCAGAAAGTGAAGAAGAACTAAAGAGCCTCTTCAAGAAAGTGAAAGAGGAGAGTGAAAAAGTTGGCTTAAACCTCAACATTCAGAAAACAAAGATCATGGCATCCGGTCTCATCACTTCATGGCAAATAGACGGGGAAACAGTGGAAATAGTGGCTGACTTTATTTTTCTGGGCTCCAAAATAACTGCAGATGGTTATTGTAGCCATGAAATCAAAAGACACTTACTCCTTGGAAGAAAAGTCATGACCAACCTAGATAGCATATTAAAAAGCAGAGACATTACTTTGTCAACAAAGGTCCGTCTAGTCAAGGCTATGGTTTTTCCAGTGGTCATGTATGGATGTGAGAATTGGACTATAAAGAAAGCTGAGCACCGAAGAATTGATGCTTTTGAACTGTGGTGTTGGAGAAGACTCTTGAGAGTCCCTTGGACTGCAAGGAGATCCAACCAGTCCATCCTAAAGGAGATCAGTCCTGGGTGTTCATTGGAAGGACTGATGTTGAAGCTGAAACTCCAATCCTTCGGCCACCTGATGTGAAGAGCTGACTCATTTGAAAAGACCCTGATTCTGGGAAAGATTGAGGGCAGGAGGAAAAGGGGACAACATAGGATGAAATGGCGGATGGCATCACCGACTCAATGGACATGAGTTTGGGTAAACTCAGGAGTTGGTGAGGACAGTGCTGATGGACAGCACATGAACTGTGCTGCAGTTCATGGGGTTGCAAAGAGTTGCACACAACTGAATGACTGAACTGAACTGAACTGAAATGCTCTGTAAATTTATTGCAATTTTCTTTGTTGTCTTTTTTCCCCCCTTGGACATAACTTGAAACATTATACTTCACCCCTTTTGTGATTTATTAATTTTCTATCAAAATATTACCTCCTCAGCCAAACTTTGGTCAAGTTTCTCTGAATTCTTCTTCTAGCTATTCATTGCCCTTGGCCTGCCAAGCCTGGTTTTAGCAAAGAATCCTGCTGTCAATTTATTGAGAATCCCCCAACCCTCTATATCCAATCAACCTCCTCTTCCCCTTTATCTTTGATTAGTAACTAAGTTCCTCATTGCAATTGTCCATCCTCTCTTTTATTCTGCCCACTGGTAATAAATCCCCACTTATTCCGGTTGTATTTGGAGTTAAGGTCAATCTCTCTTTTTTATTGCAGTAGTCTCTCCCCCATTGCCATAATGTTGAATAAAGTCTTCCTTGCCATTTTAAACAAATGTTAGAATAATTTATCTTTTAACCTTACTATTTTTCTGGTGGCAGTTGGATAAACTTTAGGAAACAAATGAATATACTTTCATAGATGTATATATCTTTGAAATTTCAAATACTTTTAAGTTGAAATAAGGATACTAGCACATTTTTTTCTTGTATTATAACTTTTACAATTATCAGGAAAAGTTATGAAGGATTGAAAAAGGAAAAAAGAAAAAAAAAACTCAGTAAATACTCTGCCAAGGTCATCTATTTCAGCTGTCTCTGCCTTTCATGGTCTTGGAACTGTTTAACAGTTCTGTAAGTTACAGAAATCTGACAATAATGTACATGATTCTTGTTTATAGAAACACAAATGAATTAGGCCCAGTGTGTTGCAATTGATTATTGACCTGTAAACAGATCTGTTTTGCGTCGGTTTGCAACTTGATTTCAGAATTATTTTATTCCCTATATATACATGTGTGTTTTGAATTCTCTTTTGAACTTGTTATGACATATTACAGATTCTTTCATTAATTATGAGTTATAATTTTTGACATATGTTCCACATGGTAGTCACAAATTTCCTTTAAAAACTTATCCTTTAACACAACGTTGGAATTTATGATAGTTGTTAACCTTTTGAATCATATTTCCCACAGCTGAGTCATTTTTCCACGTGTGAGTGTTTAATGCCTTATACCAGACATTTTTCCTGGCTTCTGGTTTGAGCTTTTGCTTGGCTAAATTCCACTTTTACCTGGTTCTTTTTCAGGAAATGCTTATGGATGCCATAAGTTTCTTTATGTTTGAGAAGGTCTGACTGCCCTCTTCCCCCTTGAATGACAAAGTCACCAGGAAGAACATCATGGACTCGAATTGCTCTAGTCAGTTTGTTTCTTACTCTTTATTTATAGTGATTATTTATATCCTTTTCCTATAGCAATAATTCAGTACTAAGCTATTATCTTTTTTTGCTGGGTTTATTTTCTCTTTTTATTTAGTAGTATATTGATTTTATTTGTAATTTTCTGTCTATAATCTCTCCTTTTAGCTATTTTTATTTTAATGCCCCTCATTTAAAATCTATTAAAATAAACCCATTATTAATATGTTTTTCTGTGTACAGTAAAATATTGGTGGTTTCATATTTCCTGGGGTTAAGATTTTTTTTCCTAATTAGATGCTTTATCTTTGTTTTGCCTGCCAATTTCTTTTTTCTTCACTTCCTTTCCTTCTTCTCTCCTTTCTTATGCATGCACTCCCATCCTCTCTGCTCCCCCCACCTTTTTTTTTGTATTTTTAACTGGAGGATAATCACTACAATATTGTGTTGATTTCTGCCATATATCAACATGAATTAGCCATAGGTGTACATATGTCCCCTCCCTCTTGCATCTCCCTCCCACCTCCCACACCATCCTACCCCTCTAGGTTGTCACAGAGCACTGGATTTGAAGTCCCTGCATCATACAGCAAATTCACACTGGTTATTTTTACACATGATAATGTATATGTTTCAATGTTAATCTTTCAGTTCATCCCTCTCTCTCTTCCTTCACTGTGTCCACAGGTCTGTTCTCTATGTTTGCATCTTCATTGCTGCCCTGCAAATAGGTTCATCAGTACCATCTATCTAGATTCCAATATATGAGTTAATATATGATATCTGTTTTTCTCTTTCTGACTTACTTCATTCTGTGTAATAGGGTCAAATTTCTTCCAACTCATTAGAAGTGACTCAAATACAGTCCTTTTTATGGATGAGTAATATCCCATTGTTTTCCCCCATTTTATGTATCAATTGCTTCATAATTGCTGCATAAACATCATGCTGTTAGAAGTGGATAAGTCTGTCCAGAACTTTACCTGTGCTGATATGGTAAGTTCTCCTTGACTTTCCTTTCAAGATTCATGGGCATGCTTCACCTCTTCTATGAAGCGATATGATGGCTATTTGTTCAGGGCTTGGTGTTTCAGGGGTATGAAGGTATGGGGCTCAGAGAGAACTACATATAGTGATGGCTGGCAGTCCTAGACTCTGCCCTCTTTTTTGTAATCATCTTGAATACCTTAAATTAAAGGGAACACCTCCTATTCTATGATGTCTTGAAGTTCATTATTTGACACTTGACTTGACCGTGCACCATTTCTGGGTTTTGTCCTACTTCAGGGGTTGGAGCCCTGTCCCTGTAGCCTCCATCCAACTGAATGGGACTGGTCTCTGCCCTCATCTGGCTGTCTCACTCCCAAGGTGATAGCCCTTCCTGCAAGCAGAAATGGGCTAACTAGAAAGTGTTAGGGCATCTCTGAGACACTGTATGTGTTTCTCACTTATGTTCCACTTGCCTAGTTTTCCATTTATTGCTCACAATAATTAAGCCCTCCCTTTTTCTCTCCCCCTTGAGAAAATCATCAGCATGAAATCTCTGTGAGTGTCTGGGAGATTATTATTGCTGTTCTTGCAGAATGAGAAGGGTGTAAAAACCTTCAACATTCCTTTTCTTTTTACTTCTCCCCAACCTAGGGCTCGTGATGAGATTGTCTGGACCCTCCTCAGCTCTCTCCAAGGTGCCTCCATGGGACACAGAGTAAAAAACTATGTGGAGAGATACCATGCTGAGTTTTGAGGATTTCTGGGCAATCTTTTTTTCTTGCTTAATTGTAAGCCACCAGCCATCAAACCCTTTAATTTAAATTTGAGCAAGTGTACTTTTCACTGCTTCTCCTCATGGGGTCTCTCCTTTCCTCCTCTTTCCATCATAATTGATTTTTTTGTTGTTCACATTGTTTGATTCTGGGGTGGGAAGGTTTTCATACTCAGCTTCACTTTACTTATTTAATCCCCAAATTACACAATGCTTTCATGAATTCCTCTGGCTCCAAGGCTTGGTGGCAATTTTAAGACATCTACAGATGTTAAAATGCATACAACAGCTTGGTGCCTTCCGTGTGGCCCAGAGGCACTTTTAAAAAGCAGACTGTGAGCATGTTTATTTCCAGCCATCTCTGGAGAAGCAATGACGATTTTGAAATGTCACTTTTAGATTTTTAGAATGTATGTTCTAAAAAAGAAAAAAAAAAGCATTTTTCCCCCTTTATTCAGTGTTACCTGACAGTCAAAGATTAGAGTTTTAGAAAAACTGGGAATGGCAAAGGCACTTTTGAGTTCAAGCCTAATCTTCCAATAATACAACCTGAAAATGACCGCTGCCCCTTTCCTTGACCTGTTGGCCATGAGTGAATTTATAGCCATTGAAAATGGTACAAGAAGGTGTGTGTATGCCTGTGCTAAGTCGTTTCAGTCATGTCCCACTCTTTGTGACCCTATGGAATGTAGCCTACCAGGCTCCTCTGTCCTTGGGATTCTCCAGGCAAAAATACTGGAGTGGGTTGCCATGCCCTCTTCCACAGGATCTTCCCGACCTGGGGATTGAACCCACATCTCCTGCGGCTCCTGCATTGCAGACGGATTCTTTGCTACTGAGCCATGGAAGAAGCCCACAAGAACATGTGGGGAGAGTCACTAGGATGGGATGATCCTAGTTGCAGGAACACGAGTGTGGCCTTCCTGCCTTAAACAGAAAGGAGACACTAATTAAGAACATAGACCTTATGTTCAAGCAAGCAGTGGCTTCTCTTTCCTTAATCCCTTGGCCTTGCTATCATAGGAAGTTATAAAATAGTATGTTCTAAGTTACCACTTTATTATTGTTTTATTACACACAATGATACTGTTATGCATTACATGTTTCTTATGTGCCAGGCAGTATTGCAGATACTTTATAGTACAGTATCATGTAGTTCTCCAAACAGTCCTAAGATAAGTACTTGGATTTGGTTGTAAGAACTGAGACATTGAGCAATTAAGTCATCTGTCTCTGTTCACACTGCTAATGTAGAAGCTGGATTTAAACCTTTGCTGACTCCACAGGACACAGTCTCCCTCTCTTAGATGTCTTCTTACAGAAGGCATAGCTCCTTGCATGGGGCTAAGCAGATCATGTAGGGCAAGCAGGTGGAGTACAAGAGAATCTGAAAGACCTTTTGGGGGTTCCAGCCCTGTAGCCTCCAGCACCATAGGACTGAGAGCTTCACAACTTCTTTGAACCTGTTTTCTATTGACTATAAAATGGCCCAATACTATCCACTCTGCAGAGTTGTGTTAGGAATTCTAGAGATGATCTCTGTGGGGTGTCTAACTGTGCCCTGCAGTGCCTAAGTATTTGGTTATTGACTGACCCTTGGTTTAGAATTGACATTGTCGACTTTTTATAAATATATATGTTCCCAAAGAAACAGTTCTTACACATACTTCCCATATGCTATACAATGAAAGATGAGCAGTTGTATAAATACTGTCAGTAGATAATAGTTTAATATATGTTTTCAGAATTAAGCTGGTGGTTTAATGATATTCAGAAAGTAAAGATACACTAACACCTTCAAATTGCATGACCTAAAAAATGAGTCATCCATCCACAACTCTGGTAAATTATTTTAGCTAATTGTAGTCCCTTCCTCTGGCCACATTTCTAGCTAGTGAGAACGGAGGACCTATTCCCAGAGAGAATGAGTCACCTATAGGGACTGTGAAATTTGCCTCCAGCTGCTCCTTCTTTTGTGCAGATGGGAGAACTGGCATTTGAGTCTGTGTCCCATGGGCCCCACTTATTGACAGACTTCTTTATAAATGGGAAAGAAAAGGACAGTTATCTTGGCCACAGAGAACAAATATGAAGTAGTCTGTTATGAAATAAAGTGTGTTACCACAAGAGATGTTGAAATTCTAACCCCAGTACCTGTGAATGTGATGTTATTTTCAAATGAAGCCTTTGCTGATGTAGTCAAGGTCAGGTCATTAAAGTGGATCCTAATCCAATATGACCGGTGTTCCTTAAAAAAAGGGTAAATTTGGTTACAGAGATAGACATACGGGGGAATGCCATGGGAAGGGGAATGCAGAGATCAGGGTGATGCTTCTGTAAACCAATGGATACTGAAAATTGTCAGAAACCACCAGTGACTTGGAAAGAGGCCCAGGACAGTTTGTCCCTCAAAGACCTTGGAGTCTGAGGGATAACCAATCCTGCTGACACCTTGATTTCAGAGTTCCAGCCTCCAGAATTGAGAGACACTACCTTTCTGTTGTCTAACTGCCCAGTTTTTAATACTTTATCAGGCAGCTCCACGCCACCAGTGCATGGTCCTCAACAATAAGCCAAATTTCCCTTCAGCTCATCTCAAGGTCAGAAGCACTAAAATGCTGTGCCGGACTCAGAATCTCAGGAGACATGAAGTTTGGGAGTTTCAGGTGGAGGCCTGGAAATACAGCTGAAGAGCATGGGATGGAACAGTGAATGTGGCTTGACTGAGCACAGGAGCATCATCCTGTCCTTGAAGGGCCAAGACACATGTTGACAAGTGAGTGAGGGCAGGGAGCTAGTGAAGGCAGAGCAGACCATTTCCAACCTCCTGGCCTGGTGCCTCCTTGTGGACCAGCTGGACAAGATTCATCCCTCACGTGCAAGAGCATAGAAGATTTACTGAGAAATATTTAACCAATTAGAGCACATATTTAAATGAAACAAAGTCATGGATTAAGGTAAAGTTGGAGAAAATTGGGGCAGAAAGCATAAAAGTGACCTTTGCCTGATAATGTTGAATTATTCATAAACTTTCATGCATATTCCCATCTAGAACTCAACATAACTTTAAAGAAAACAGAAAGAATTTTTCTTCATACTTTATCATAGACCTTTGTGCAAGAAAAACGAAAGAGTGGGTATAAGCCTACAATATAGTTATCCTGCAAGTGGGAAAGACATTATGGAGAAAACCTGGAATAATAAATACTGACAATTCTATTACTAAAACACTAAAAGCAATTCCCTACAAGGAAAGAAAGAAGAAAAGTAACACTTATTGCTATACACTTTGCTCTCATATATAATGAAAACTTTAATTCTAATAATGGAAAGAAAGATATGATAATAGTATGCTGGAATAATAGCAAAAAGGCATGGATTATCCCTGTTTTACAAATGAGAGATATGGTGCTCACAGTCATTAAGTAAATTGCTTCAGGTCACAAAGCTGGTAAGATTCAAAGTCAGAAATCAAACCCAGGTATATTCAACTTGGAAAGTCAGGGATTTGGGGTCATAAGGAAATCATGACTTTCACCTTTGAGGCAATAATTAACATAGTACAGATAGCTAAATTATTTCTGCCCAGTATATTCTTGAAACCACCCAACTTGAAATTCATTTTTATCATAAAAATGAAGTGTCTAAAAATAAAACTTGAAATCAAAACTGATTCAAAGCAAATGCATTCTGAGATATTTCCTGGGAAGGGGGATGACCATTCCAATCTAGATTTGATAGCATTTGCCACTATGGCTAAATTTCCAGGCATCAGATGACCAATTGTTTAAAGTTGCTTCCACATCAAGTGAATTTCACAGGACATTAGAATCATAAACAGGCTTCCAAGTAGCTGTCATGAATTAAGTTTATTTGATCAGAAACTGGGGAGGCAAGAGAAATGTCTTAAGAATTCAGAGAAACACAGCCTCAAGTCCAACAGCATCAGTGCAACAAAATGGTTG